GAGAGAAACAGAGAGAGAGGGAAAAGTGAGAAAGCAAACCACCAGGCCTGGGACTCACACCTCAGCTGGCCAAGTGGGAGTCCAGCACCTTAACCACCACACCACCTAGTAATTTAGATTTTCCTTTCCATGGATTCTGGAAAACCAAATAATCATCCCAAGAGTTCTTTGAATTCTGAAGGGTGCCTTAATTTCTTGACTAGCTAAATTCCAGCTTCTTCAAAATTATTCGTTTTGGGTATTTTTTGCTGTTCACATTAGGTCTCACACATGTGTAATTCAAAGTAATATCCATGCAAAATTTATCAAAGCATTTATGTGATCTTAGCAATACCTACTGTAGATTTGGGGAAGGGGAAGTATTATATTACAACAAACCAATCAATTTAAAATTCAATTGTAGTCATCCCTCCTTATAAAGTCTTTGACCAATGATGCACTTTAGGATCTGGCCTTCTGCTGGGTTTCTTTTTTCTTTTATATTATATTTAATCAAATATATCTTTACGGTGCATAACATTTCTTTTCCCATCATGATTACCATGCATATCAGTCAAGACAAAGACATTGCTATCCACATAATCATGATCAAATAGCTTTTCATTTTTTCCAGATTATTATTATCATTATTATTATTATGTATTCTCATTTTTTTAACATTCAATCATTATACATCATTTGTCTTGTAAAGAGAATTTACCTAACATTAAATACTGCTCAGACCAGTCCAGTAGAGAATATTATGCATGTTATCAATAAGTAATAAACCATTTCTGTGTCCCACAAATGTAATGCCTCTCTATTTGTTCACATGCCATCCTTCTCTATACTCTTCCTTTCTTCCCTCCCCCAATTCCACACTGTCTTCAGCATCCATAACTATTGTCACTGCTTTTATGCCCTCCAATATTTCAATCTCTACTATAGAGTGTGGATAGTTAGTATATATAAAGTGGATACATACAATATCTTTCTTTCATATCCTGGCTTGCTTCACTCAGTAATAAATTTTCCATATTTAACCACTTCCTATCAAATGCCAGGGTCTTGTTTTTTTTTATAGCTGGATAGTATTCCATAGAGTATATGTGCCACATTTTTTCCATCCATTCATTTGTTTGTGGACATTTGGGTTGGTTCCATGTCACAGTGATCGTGAATAATGCTGCAATAAACATTGATGTGCAAGCACTTTTCTGAGTGTTCTTCTGTCCTTTGGGTAGATACCCAGAAGTGGTAGTTCTATTTGTAGATCTTTGCGGAATCTCCATATTATTTTCCACAGTGACTGAACGAATTTACATTCCCATCTTCTGGGTTTCTTAACCCCTCACCTCTTTGTTTCCCTACTGTATCAGTTCGTTCAGGTTGCCATGACAAAATATCATAGGCTGGGTAACTTACAGACAATAGAAATTTGTTGCTCACAATTCCAAAGGTTAGGAAGTTCAAGATCAAGGCAACAGTTGGTGTCTGGTAAAAGGTCTCTGGTTCATAAAAGTACCTTCTATGTGTTCTCACAACGGAAGAAGGGACAAATGAGCTCCCTCAGGCTCCTTTTTAAGAGCACTAATACCATTTATGAGCATTCTCCCCTCATGACCTAACCACTTGCCAGAGTCTCCACTTCCTAATCCACTATTCACCGGGGGTTAAGTTTTAACATATGAATTTTGGAGCAAAACACATTTAGATCATTGCAACTACTGTCTCTCCTTCTCAAGCCTTCACGCCCAGATCGCCTGAGGCTCTGTTCCATAATACAGACAAATCCATTAAGCCATCTCTAACCCCTTAAAGGCAACACTGTGGCCCTCAAAGACCTTGCTGAAGATTTGAAACTATCTTTTTTAAGGACTTCACTAAATTACTAGCCAAAAATTAAACTTGTTCTCACTCTGTGTTTATCTGTGTGTGGAAAACACAAGAGGATGGTTATATTAAACATACATCATCTCAATTAGTTCTCACAGAAGGGTCGCAAAGTTGGTCTGATTCTCCTCATTGTACATCTGGGAAAACTGAGGCTCGGAGAAGTTAAGGAATGTACTCAAAGTCATTTATAGTTGGGAAGAGGTGAACAGTCAAAACTGTGACTCCAAATCTCCTGTTGTTTTCACTACATCACATTGTCTCATGTGTTGTGCTTGGCTTTGGGTACCTTCTGTGTGGTAAGAGATTAGAAGAGCCAAATGCTACTCCCTGAATCCTTCATCTTGGATAACCCTCCACTATACTCCTGGCTTTCACTTTATCCCAAGTGTCCTTGTCTTCACACAGCATGCCCAGACCTCAACACATGTGTGGGATCCTATCAGCATACAGAACAGCAGGACTGCCCACTTCTTTCTGGGTTTCTAGTCAAACAACTTGAGATCCCTTTGGCTCCTTGATCCTGAATTCCACTGCTGATTCACCATAGGATTTTAGCCAATGGAAACCCCAAGAACAAAGATCCTCCCTTGAGCTCTGGAGTCAGTCCCAGCGTGAATACTTGCTTCGCTCCTTCCCGTGAGAACTTAGACAACTCACCTCTCTTTTTAAAGCAGCAGTTTTCTTGATCTCACTTAGAAGAGAAAATAATATTGTTTAACCTCGTAAGGTTGTAAGGAGAATTGAATTCATGCAGGCAAGATGTTAACCCAGTGTCTGGAGCACTTTAAATTAAATAACTACTAGCTGTAATAACAATTATTAGAGGGCTGGCCTCAAAGTGCAGTGGTTAAGCTATGCAGAGAAAGTTGGATCCCACATGGCTGACTGTGGTTCAAATCTCAGCCCTGAGGCTTGAAAAACATACTGGGAACAGGCTGTCTACCCAGGATCCTGACAAGATGGAGAAATGGAGGATCACGCCCCTTTGGGGTGCTCTCTCTCTCTCTCTTTCTCTCTACCCCATGCACACACATGTGCTCTTTGGCATATATATATCACACACACACACACACACACACACACACACACACATATATATATATATATGAAATGCCTATCCTCCCTCCTCCAGACAAAGTCAATCTCTTCACACACACTGACTCTCTCTCTCTCTCTCTCTCTCACACACACACACACACACACACACACTCTCTCTCTCTATTGGAAAGTGTTCCCCTTAAGCAGAAAGCCTGGCCTTGAAAATCCTGGATTCAGTTCTATCACATGCTAGCTATGTGACCTTGGGCAAACGGCTTGACTTTCTCTGGCCAACATTTTCTTCTCTTTAAAATGGAAACCATAATTTTGTATTCATTAACTCACGGGATTATAAGGAAGATTCTATAAGGTAGAAAAGTTAAAAAGCTCTGTATTTATCAATGCTTTATTTCCATTCCCCTCATAAAGGGGAATAAATGTATATTTTTGTAAACTAAGTGTAAAATTTTATACTAATCTCAAAAATGTATAGACTCATGTAGGAGTTATCAGATTAACATTACTCTAAATTGCTTTTCTATGTTCACACTTCATGTTTTTTTTTCTCATGTGATACATTTATCTGCTTATGAGTTTGAAAAAAAAATCTATCCATAGTAAAATGAAAGCATAGGAACCTATCACTACTAGTCATAAATTGTATTTATTAGGAATGAATTCACACCAATTGGTTGCATTATGCACTGTGCTGGGGGCACTGACACAAAGAAATATAATTTGAGGTGTGTGTCCTCATATCTATTAGTACTTTGGGGGAAACAGCCCATATATTTCATCTTAAATGTTAATGTCTTGAAACAGTTACATGAACTTCCAAAGAAACCTAGTAAACCTCAACATGTCCAATCATGGAACAAATTTGTGACTTTGATGATAATTCTCCTTAACAGCATTTCCTGCAGGCCCTGTCTGAAATGGAGGCAACATGACATTATAGAATTGAAAACTCTTAAGATCTGTCACCACACTTTAATGCTCCAGGGCTTGGGGATCTTGCAGACTTAGAGCTGAACCTATCGATCCTACAGAAGAAAAACGATTTATCCTAAATCACCCCTGTCAGTGACAGAACCTGGACAAACCCGGGTCTCCTGCACTCACTCAGTTGGGTTGTTACTGGGCTGCAGGGACCAGAGGTAGAAAAAGAGGACGACCGGTCACCAAGAAGAGCTATTTTGTCTCTGGAGTCTGGTTCTTTCTGCCTCTCCCCCTCCCCCCCAAATCAGTGGGATGTCAGGAGAGGAAAGCTTCCCGGAGCAAGAAGAGATAACAAGGACCCTGAAAACTGTCATTGACTGTGGTGTGGTTGGGAACCCAAAACCTCGCCAGATGGTCCAAAGTGGCCCTGCTAATGTGGTTTATCTGGGCGAGGAAGCCCTTTGCTGCAGCAGCGCCACTGCGCCCGCCCCCTGACCGGCAGTAACCCCGAGGCACGCAGCAGCCTTGGCTAGCTTCAACGTAACCATTTGGGAAGACCAAAAACAGAAAATGTACTCCTTCTCATCTGAAACCTGGTCGTTAGATCTGGCCCCTCCCTGGCAGAAATGAGAACATTAAGTTTACGCTCACGTGGCTTTTCTGCGGGCAAGCGCTCCCTTCCGAAGCTGCTTCTAGAACCGACCTCGGCTTTTGGGGGGAGGGGTTGTATGGGAGGTGGGCAGAGCTGAATAGGGCCAGCTGTGGGAGACCCGACAGCGTGAAGACAACAGATGGGGGAAGAAAAGAGTGAGTGGTGGGGTGGCAGGAGCAGGACGACAGTTGAGGGACCTCGGTCACCTCGCCAGGCCTGCAATTGTGTTCCGCCCTGCCAGACCCAGAAATTAGGGCACGTCCGCAAAGCCCACACCCTTCATTTCAGAGCGGAACTGAAACCACCGAAAAATAAACGCTCCAGACGCCCAGTCACTACCAGCAGTGAGCTGTGCGCAGGCGCGCGGGAATCCGAATCTGACCTCGAGTTACCCCGCGCAGAAAGCCGCGGAGAACTAGGTGAAAGGTAACTAGCAGGCGCTTCTCCTGGCTATCGCCAAAGCGCGCGTGCGCCAGGCTCGGCTGCTGGTTCAGTCCTCCAGTTTCTCCAAGTCTGCACTTCACTGAACTGTGGATCTGGCCGGGGCCGGTGCAAGAGGCGATGGTGTGGAAGCTTCGAGCAGATTTGACAAATTCTTGCCACCCAGTCCTCCACAGGGTAAAGAGCCCAGGTACAGTGCGAGGGAGAGAACGACATATTGTGCGCCGTTTGTTTGCTCAGTAGACGCAGTGCTGGGCGCATTGGTTGGGTTCTTTCAGTTCTCACAAGCCTTTCAAAGAGGCAGTGTGATCTCCCATTTACCAAAGAGGAGACTGAGGCTCAGCGAGTTCCTGTGTCTTAACCAAGATCATCCAGTCAGTAAAAGTCCTTTTTCATGAATGGTCCCTGATTCAAGGTGGGCTTTTGTTTGTTTTCCCTAATATGAATAACCGACGTAAGAAGTGCATTTTGCAAGGCATGGTCATAAGCATTAGTCCATTTTTACCTGAAACCTTTGAAGTAGGCACTGTTACTAGTTCTCTTTTGCAGATGGCATAGAAGACTCAAGGAAGTTGTTCTGGGAATCACACTGAGGCTAGCAGAGCTGAGCTTTTCTGCCCGTTGTAGAGGGATTAAAAAAAAAAAAACCCTCAAGATCAAGTCCTCCCACTTCCATCCTGCATACCTATGATGTCTCTGAGAGCTGCAAGCTCTGTGAGGTGAGTGGGTCAGGTCCTGAGGAAGACAAAGAAGTTCTCATCATAGGCAGCTTCCTTGGTTGCATTTTTCTATGACAGAATTACAAAAGACCACCTTTGGGTACAGACGAGTTGTTAGCACATGGAGGTCAGGAGCAGTGCGCTGCTCCCAGTCGTTGAACTTGGTATGTGTTTCATGAGTTTATGAACTAAGTGAACACATTTTCAACCCCAGCATACCCTATAGGGATCCCACAGTTGCATCTGGCATTCAATGATGTGACTGCTTATTTGTGACTTCTCCCAGATAAGAGCTCTGGCATTCATTCAGCAAACACACTCCAACACCCACTTACGATGTGCACATAGCTGGAGATTAAGAGGGCAACTTCAAGGCAAGAATGTCTTCCTTCTCTTGAAAATTCTGTTCTGAGTCTTTGCCTCAGTCTGTTCAAGCTATAACAAAATGCCTTAGAGTAGGTACATTAATATTTATCACATTTTTGGAAGCTGAAAGTCCGAAACCAAGGTGTTTGCTGATTTGGTCTTGGGTGGACTCTTGCTGTCCTGCAAACAGCCATTTTTTTCACTGTATGCTCACATGGCAGAGAGAGATTTCTCTAGTGTCTCCCCTTATAAGGGCACTAATCCCATCTGGGGAGCTTAACTCTCTTGGCCTCATCTAAACTTTCTTTTTAAATTTATCTATTTTCTTTTGAGAGAGAGCAGAGAGACAGAGATCCTTAACAGAGTCTCTTCACACTGTGATCTTCTTCCTCCAACCCTCTAGCCAGTCAGGAGCTTTGGTGCCCGTACCTGGCATGTCTCAGGCCAGCTAGAGATCTGAACCTACAGTCGGACATGTGGCTCCCAGCACCACAAAGCAGTTCCCCCTATGTGCAACTTTGCAGCTGGGCCTCATCTAAACTTAATTACTTCCCGAAGTCCCCACCTCCTAATTAACATGCTGGGGATCTAGGCTTGAGCGTAGGAATTTGAGTGGAACAGAGTACACAAGCATTCAGTGGATAACATCCAGGAGCTTGCCCACCTCCATGCATGGTAGAAACCATTTATTCTCCTTTCCCTAGCAGGGCTTCCTGTGAGGCAAAAAGTATATCACCCAGGGAGGAGCTCAAGGACCCAATCACACACCTCCCTACCCTTTTATCCCTTGGTTCTCCAGCTATTTCTCAGAACCACAAAGACCAGAAAACAGAAGTAGCTCTCCCCCTCTCCTGAGAAAGCCTTGGAAACAGGCAACAAGCCAAAGAGAAATGCAAGGAAAGCAAAAAAAGCTCCAGAGAAGCGGGCCAGCCCCTTCCCACCCTCAGCTTCCCCCCTCCTCCTGCAAATCCCCTCTTTTGAGTGTCCCGTCAGGGAATTGGAATGTCATTGCCTTGTGCCCCAAGACTCTGTTGCTGCTCAGGCTGATAAAGACAAAGGCTGCCATTGGACTGTCTTTGCCCTAACATAACCCTGCCTTGCAGCTTCCCTGAGGTGACCAGGGATGATCATGTGCTGCTCCGTGCTGTTGAGATGCCTCTGTGAGCTGCCTGCCTGCTGGTGTTGGCCCAAAGAAGGCTGCTTGGGTATTTACATCATCTCCCTGCTGAGAGGCTTGTGTGTTGAGAGCTTTAACCACACTGTGGTCTGCTCTGACCACCTTTATTTGAATCCCCATATGATCCTCTACAGCCTATGCAGCAAATGATATAATCTCCATTTTGCAGAGGATGAGACTGAGGCTCTGAGGGAGGTAAGTGATTTCCCCACATCACACAATTAGTAAAAGGCACTGCTGAGACTCGACTCCTTTCACTGCTCTGTACTTTTAGACCTAACATCCCAGCACCCAGCAGGTTCTTCGATCTGGCTGGGAAAAATTGCCCTTCAGTTTCTTCCTTTTTACTTTAATCATCTGAAAGGAATTTCAGTACAAATGTAGAACAAGTGGAATTCCATGCCTTACACACAGTTAAATAAGGAGTGATTTTATAAAGGAATAAATGAATGAAGGCAGAGAATGCAAGTGGATGAAATGCCTAGCATTGTACCTGGCACATAGTAGACACTCAGTAAATATGTCCCAAAGGGTTGAATAAAGGAAGAAAAATACATTGAAGTACAGGGAATTGAAGAATTTCAATATAAGGTGCAAATATTTTAGAAAAATCATTTCCCAATCTTAAGCTCATGGATAAAGTTTATGGTCCTGCTGGAATTTGAAATAATTCTTTTTGAACTATTGGTGAAAGATTTACTGGTCCAGGCAGGTTATCAATAAATATACAGAAAGTGGATGCAGCAAAGCCCTGATCCATACCACCTCTCTGTTGAATTGCTTTTCACAGTGTTTCATGTGATTTGTGCTTCTGTGTTCTATCATGAGGCAAGGCCTTTAATTCCACTCAATAAGAGCTAGTACTATTTATGAAGCACTAAGTACATTAGTGCATAAGATACAGTTCTTGCTCCCAAGTGGAGAAAACAAGATTTGTTGTCAGAGGGCCTAGGTGTGAGTCCCTGCTTTCGCTAGGTGCACATTAACCTCAGTGCATTATGTAACCCAGTAATCCTCAGATTTCCAGTGTATAAAATGGGTACAGGGTCAGCTCATGGCCTGGTAGTTAAAGCAGTTGGATCCCACATGTCCAACTGCCGAGTTCAAGTCCTGGATCTGGCAGCTTGAAAAACATTCCAGATATATGTGCATGTAAGCCCAAAATCCCAACAGGAATGAGAAGTGGAAGACAAAGGATTATGTCATGACCATCCCACTTGGGAGGTGCTTTCTTACTTTCCTGCTCTGTCTTTCTCCAGTGAATCAATGTGCCCTCTGGAATTTTTTTTTTTTAAATGGATACAAAATTACTTCATAGGTGAATTTTAGGGATAGTAAGAGAGGACCAATAAATGACAAATGATATTGATTAGATTAAACATAATTCAGAGAAAATATGGCGAGTGCTGTCTTATCCAGGCACCACGACAGGATAAAGAGTATGGAGAGCAATAAACTTGAGACTTAAGGATTCTGGGTTCTAGGGCTTCCACATAGAATGGAGTTCATAGGAACAGAGTTTTATTGCCTGGGAACAGTGTAGGAAGTCATCAAGGACCTCTTGGGCCTTGCACCTGAGCTTCAGGCCTGTCTCCCTCTTGGCTACTAAGATGTGAAATGTCAGTTGATGCCAGCAGCTGCTGGAGGAAGGAACCTCCCAGCACAGCAGAACCTAGTGAGAACTTGCTACTTTACCATGCTAGCTATGCCATGCTGCCTGGCTCGGGTCGGCCCAAAAATAAGGCAGACATTTCTTTTCTTTCTTTTTTTTTTTTTTTTTTTTTTTGGAGAGGTTTTTGCTATAGGGCATGTGTGCTTACCAGAAAGACAGAGAGAGAGAGAAAGAAAGTGAGACATCACCCCTTGGGGTGATGGCCATGCCACAATCCCTTCTCCTCCATTCTCCTCTTGGGGTCTTAGGCACGCATACACATGCACCTGGCATGAGTTTAAGCCACTGGGTCCGGGACTCGAACCACAGTCGACTACATAAAAGTCCAGTGACATAACCATTAGGCCATTATGCCAACTGCTGGCCCCCAAGGCAGTCAGCATTTCTTGAGCCTTTGTTAGATGCCAGGTCCTATATAATCAGAGTGGCCCTGCTACAAGCAAGGACTTTGTAAGTAGAGGAATCAGAGGGCTTCAGGGTGAGGAAAACTAGCACACTGGGAATGAGAAATTTCTCAAAGAGGTAGACTTCAGCAGGGTTGCAAAAGACAGAACCTGTTTTTGTATGGAACAGGGAAAAAGAAAAAAAAAAACCATAGATGGACCTGTATGGAACAGGGAAAAAGAAAAAAAAAAAACCCATAGATGTATACCCTTTGGAAAAACAAAACAGTCCTGAGTAGAATTCCACTTTGACCATACCAAATACCTCCTTTGCTTAACCCAGAGATTTTAGAGAGCTAGAAAGAGAGAAAAAACACTAGAAGATGCCTCCTTGTCATCTTGGAAGGAAAATGAGCAGCTGAGGCCTTGGCACCCAGAGTTTGACTGATTTACTGGCTCTGGTCACCTCCCTCTCTGGTCACCTCCCTGTGTCTTATAAAATGAGGACTCTCCTACCTTACAACATTGTTGTGGGAATTGGGTTAGATGATGAAGGTGAATGATCCTTCAAGATGCGAAAGATATGATCAATCTACAGAAATGGCTGCTTCTTCCTTCTTTCTCATCCTGAGTGAATTCTACAGTGGAGGTCAAAGGTCAACGTGCTGAGCTCATTCACTTGCATTTAGCCACACAGCCTCTTCTAAAATTGCTGCCCCAGAAAACTTCCAAGCCTCCTCCTAGACTCAGAAATACCCGCTTTCTTCTTATCCACAGAAAAACTTGCACAAGTATTGGTCCCTTGGGAAAAAAACAACCTTATTAATTAAGCATAACCCCATTCTGTCTGAAGACTAATTACCCTTCCATGTAGATGTCTTGCCTCGAGACTTCCCCTGCTCCCGGGAGTAACCTGTCAGAGCCCGGTCTCCTTAGGGTGGAGATACAGAGGGCTGGGATCTTAAAGCCTACCCACAGAGGACAAACTCTGCTCCTCCTAAAAAGTTGTTGTAAATAATTAGCACGGGCCTCATTTCTTCCTTGAGCCGTGTGACAATCTCAAAGCAACAACACAGAGGAAAGCCAAATCTCTAAGGTGTTTCCCAAATAATCCGAAATGCTGAAGTGTCCAGGAACCGTCTAAATCTAACCTGTTCTGTTCTTTGTCCTCTTCACACTTGAATTCACTGTAATGGTCATACGGAATGATTTCATTCTCAAAGTTGTTTTCTTTTTCTCCTGTTCTTTCTTTTATTAATACCAGAAGGCATGTGCATTCTTGCATGGGGATGCGTATGAGAGACAGAGAGAAAGCACCCCCTCACACACGATGGGGCATATTCATACTACAGTACTTTGTCTTCCATTTCTCCATCTTGTAAGGATTTGGAGCATGCATACAGACTTGCCTGGAGTGTTTTTCAAGCCTTTTCAAGCCTCTGGGGCCAGGACTTGAACTGTGGTCTGTCATGTGGGACCTAGTTCTCTAAGCATAGGGCTTAACCACCGTGCTATGGAGGCAGCTAGTGTTTTTCTTTTTTGCACAGTTCATTGTCATTAGGAAAAACTGTCAGGGCTGTACAAAAGAAATAATAAGTTTCAATCCCAGCTAGACTGATCTCCACGGTTTCATGTTCCTTTCAGAGAATCAAGAGGCAATCAGTGAGAGAGCCTAGAAGGAGAAGGAGGAGGCTGGGATCCAGACTCATTTCTAACAAACAGGATGCGTAGCCTTTGCTACATGAGTTCCTTTCTCTCAGCCTCAATTTCCACACCTGCAGACTTGGAGGTTTGGGTTAGTCCATTCTTAGATCCTCATCTAATTATTAATCAACCCTAGAATGGATACTTATGCTACCTGCCTTCAAAAGAAGGGAGAGTTTTGAAACTAGAAGCCAGTATCTCAAAAACTTCAAACATGATCTGTAAAACACTGACATATGTAGAAATTGAAGCATAAACACCTACAAACATGAACCATAATTCAACAACAAAATCTAATTAAGGAAAATACATACTTGAGAACAATGCCAGCATTATGTAGTTCTTTGCCAACAGTTAAACTAAATTTAGTTAAATTTAACCTTGTTTTTACTACATCTATTTTTTTCTGTCATGTGTTGAGTATATTTTTTAAAGGAAGCCAGCATATTTTATTCAAAGATAACATTGTGCCAACTTTTTTTTTAATTGGCCAACTTTTATTAGGAGAAAACCAGGCATTTGTTTGTTTACCTTTCTGTGCAAGTATGTATACGAGATAAGGAGTAGGACATTTAAAGTCAGTGGATAGGAAGAATAATGAATGTATTTATGAATGAGCTTTTTTTTTCCATAACTAAAACTAGGAAATGGTTGGATTGGTGTATTGGACACTGCTGGTGCCTAGCCCAGGTTTCCTGTCTGTCCCTCGGCTGCTTTGAGTATTCACTGCTGATAGCTCCTTTCTCCTAAAAATTGCCCTCCATGAGATGGGAGCTAATGTCCCTAGGAGGTTACATTCCTCACACCGCAGTTTACAGCCAAAATTTTACTTATACGGGGTTAACACAGCACCTCTCATTGGAATGGGACCAACCCTGTGGTGTGATTCATGCTCAGAGCTCCCCTTCAGTAAAGCCAAGGCTAGACTTTCCTGAAGCAGCATCTTTGCATGACTCCCTGACCTTCCCCATTCTGCCTCTCTTATTCTCTTACAGGCTTCTTTGGCAAGCACTCCCTCAGTAAACACTCTCACCAAAATCCCTGTCTTAGGCTTAGCTTCTACAAAACTTGACCTAACACAAGCATGAGCTGTTATGAGTGGGCAGTAAGGAAAACTACCTTTGAATTTCATTCATTCACTCATATATTTAATCACTATGTATTGAATTGCCTACTGTAAGTCAGACACCATTTTGGAGATTTGGAGAAACTTACAATGGACAAGATAGATATTGCCCATGCCAG